TATATTTTCAGAGGCTTCTCCTGTCCAGTCACCTTAGGAGAGTCATTCTAGTAACAAAGAATAGTGACTTATTTATAGCAAATATATACATTTATATAAACAGCCATTTATTTTCAACTGATCAGTATATATTTGCAATTCTCAAATGCAGGATTGCACTGGACTGAAGTAAAAGTATTGTCTAAAATATTAAGTTAATTAATTAATTAAGTTAATTAATATTAAGTATAGCAGACATATGTGATGAGATTATTGCTAATTTCATTTAATTTAGATAACATCTGCATGCAAAATTCAGATTTTATATGCATATATTCTTCATACAAAATTTATAAATTAGTTTCCATTTAACTTAGATAACATCTAAGCATAGGTACATCTAAGCGTCTGGTTATTTTCTTACCAGTAAGTAATAAAATATAAAGAACTTATCCTTTATTTAGAAAAGCTATTTTATATGATCCAGATTACAGTGAACTAATTATGACTCAGAGCTGGAGATATAATATATGCATAGGTATAATTCTCTATGACCTTTCCTACAGAGTGCAAAGAGCTACTTATGCTTTCTGCTTATGTGAAGAAGGTAAAAGAATTTGCTAGATCATATCAAAGCAGCAGAATTTACATGTTCCAGTAAAAGTAAGACACTGGAAATGTAACTGCCATTGTGACTAAAAATGTGTAATAATCCGTGATAATTCCCTATAAGCTACATTTATACTCAAACTGGAAAATTAAATATAAATAGAGTGATAGCATTTGTTACCTGAAGAAGCAAGAATGTTTGTTTTGTAATAAGCATTTCAATACAAACCACAAGAAGAGTTAGAAAGATACAAAATGCATGTGTTTAACAACATTAGAGAACTAGCAAGGGGTCCGTATATTGTGGGGTCATTACTTTGAAAAGAAGCCAGAGTTAAACCCTGTATTTAACATCCTCTTTTCACTAAAGATATGGGCTAATTCTAAAAACTACACAAGAAAGCCTGAAAAGGGTGAGTTGAAATTCATACAAGTGCCTTTCTCTTGGGACAATAAATGGGATTCAAGGTCTGTCAATAAGAACAGGACTTTGAAAACATCCAGTTTTTTTTTTTGCTTGTTTGTTTACATTTTTATTCCCATAGAACAAAAACAGATCCAGGAGATAGATCCAAAAGCTCTTACTGTGATTTATGTCAAAGTGTGTCCTGCCTGTGATTTCCTCTAGGAATTTTGCAGTGTCTAGTCTTACATTTAGTCTTTAATCCATTTAGGGTTTATTTTGTATATGGTGTAAGAGAATGTTGTTGAAGAGACTCTCTTTTCTCCATTGTATTTCCCTGCCTCTTTAAAGACAGCCATGCAAAATTATGGAGGAAATACCTCCACTATATGACTGAGTTAGAGAACCTGACATTTGTAAGAAGTAACATGAGTTGGAGTATTGTAGTCAGAGAAGCTCTGATTTATAAACAGTTATGTAACAATGAAAGATGACCTAACATTCTCCACTTGCAGAGAGGAAGAATGCAAGTATCTCCCATTTTACTAAAATTCACGTTAGTCAATTCCCTTTTATGAAGACATACATTACAACTTATTTTCACTATAAGGAAAGAAATAAGAAGGATTTTTGGTTTTAAAAATATCTATTCTAATACTAATGGTGGACTTTTGTAAAACTGCAGAGGCATACATTTGTCATTCAAAATAAAGGAAAAGCTTGTAGTGCAGAAATACACGGGAACAAGTCAGAGAAAACTACAACACATTGACATCACCTTCTTGAAGGACAAAGTCAATCATTAAGAGTGAAGAAAACTTCTCATCTATAGACCTAAACATACCACAGAAAATCCTGTCTCATTTGCAAGAAACTAAGACTGATAGTTAAAGACATGGATTGGATATTTGTAGCTGAGATTTTATAAAGGACCCACATTGTGGTGTAACAGTTCCTGACATACTTTAAGGGTAAGCATGTGGCTTGCTGTTCAGTGGCTCAGGCATGTCTGACTCTTGGCAACCCCATGGACTGCAGTACGACATGCTTCCCTGTCCTTCACTATATCCCACAGTTTGCTCAAACTCTTGTCCATTGAGTCAATGATGCCATCCAACCAGCTCATCCTCTGTCATCCTCTCCTCCTGCCCTCAGTCTTTCCCAGCAAGGTGTTTTCCAGGGAGCTTCAGCTTCAGCATCAGTCCTTCCAATGAATACTCAGTGTTGATTTCTTTCAGGATTGACAGGCTTGATCTCCTTGCAGTCCAAGGGCCTTTCAAGAGTCTTTTCTCCAGCACTACAGTTCAAAAGCATCAGTTCTTCAGTGCTCAGTTTCACAGGGCCTCTCTTCTAAGCAAACATGAGAGAGTGGGCTCTGGCGAACTTTCCATTTTTTATTAGGACATCAATTGTATATGATTAGATCCTTACTTTTGTGATCTCAAGATGTACCAGCTGTTCTAATCCCCACTGTTCAAGGCTCTCCAGCCTGTGTTATCAAGTATATGAATGAAGAAACTTGTTTAGATGACTTCAGCCTCTGCCCATTTCTAACTGAAACCTCAAGAAAGATTCTGAGACTGCAGTAGTCAATTGATCTGATCAAATTCCAGACTCACTGAAAACACCTGAGACAATAAAGTGAATGTTACTGCTTTAAACCACTCAATTTTGCTGTTATGTTTTATATGCCAATGGTATCTGAAACACTGCAGTAATTTAAGCACTATAGTACTGGTTCATGGATATTAGTGGAACAACATGGACAGCTAAGAAATAGAATAATGTGTATGTATATATGTATGAAGTTAGTGGTATTGCAAGGTAGTCAGGAAAAGAATTACTATTCAATAAATATACTGGCAAGATATATTTATCCTTATGCTAAGAAAGGAAAGTATATGTCCATCTCACACCATATCTGAAATGTATATCTTATGCAACTTTAAAGATATAAATATGAAAAAAAACTTTAACATATTTAAAGAAAAAAAAATTTTTTCTAATACAAAGAGCTGGTAAGGACTTGAGAAGTACATGCAAAGATATTTTTCATTGAGTCCAGTTTCCTTATCTGTATGTTCCTCACTCTAGTGAGCATGGTCAAATCCACATGTCAGTTCCCTCAAAGATAATTATTTTTGAAGTGGTTAATTTACTCTATTAGATTTCTTTCTAATTGAAAGATCTAGTGCACTTTTTATTTCTTTCACTGAGGAATAAATGAAATTATATAACTGGCATTAGTTCAATATGTGTCAATAATCTGAGGCATTTACATCGCTAAGTACACTAAGTAAATGCAGTTAGAAATTGATAAAAGGATAAAGGCAGATTGATTACCTTAGTATTAAGTTGTGGGTTGAATTCTAAGAAGAACCGTATAATGAACCTTAAAGAACCTTAAAGAATGATCATTGTGAGACCTCCCTCATGGTCCACTGGTTAAGAATCCACCTTCTAATGCAGGTTTGATCCCACATGATACAGGGCAACTAAGCCTGCAAGTACTGAGCCTGCACAATGGAGCCTGTGTGTTATGTCACTTCAGTCGTGTCCATCTTTTTGTGACTCTATGGACTGTAGCCCACCAGGCTCCTCTGTCCATGTATTCTTTAGGCAAGAATACTGGAGTGTGTTACCATTTCCTTCTCCAGAGGATCTTTCTGATCCAGGGATCAGTCCAGGTGTTTATGTCTCCTGCATTGGCAGGCATGAGCCTAGGTGCCTCAATTAAAGAAACTCATGGAGCTGCAACAATAGAAGCCCACACACTGCAATGAAAAGGCCACACACCACAAATGAAGGCCCAGCTCAGCCAAAAGAAAAATAAAAAGAATGATGTTTGCTATACAGTATCTTACCCTCCAAACTATCAAAGAATCAAAGAGCTACAGAGAATTGGGAAGACATCCATTATCGGATTAAAAAATCTGTACCCAGATATAGAAAGACTCTGGAATTATATGTGATATGAATGACTTAAAACTCTGTTTCAAGTATCAGAGGGCTGTTGATCTAGGTGCACAGAATACAGTTAAAAATTTGACATTTTCAGAATGAACAAAGATCCATCATATACTACCGTTTTAATATAAAGTTGACAAAGTTCATTTCTCATGGCTTTATACCTTCTATGAATATTGTCTGTGAAATTTTCAGTAATTAATTTTATTTTTAGATTAACCTATTTAACAATAAAAATCTGAATTTTAATTTTTTTTATTTTTTTGTCTCAAGATAAAAGTTTATTTATTTATTTATTTTTATTATTTGGAGGCTAATTACTTTGCAATATTGAGTGGTTTTTGCCATACATTGACATGAATCAGCCATGGATTTACATGTGTTCCCCATTCTGATCCCCCCTCCCGCCTCTCTCCCCATCCCACCCCCTCTGGGTCTTCCCAGTGCACCAGCCCTGAGAACTTGTCTCATGCATCCAACCTGGGCTGGTGATCTGTTTCACCCTTGATAGTATACTTGTTTCAATGCTATTCTCTCTGAACATCCCACCCTCACCTTCTCCCACAGAGTCCAAAAGTCTGTTCTATACATCTGTGTCTCTTTTTCTGTTTTGCATATAGGGTTATCGTTACCATCTTTTAAAATTCCATATATATATGTCAGCATACTGTGTTGGTGTTTATCTTTCTGGCTTACTTCACTCTGTATAATGGGCATAATTTCACACTCTCTAATAGAGAATACATTCTACTAGGTCATATTTCTTGGTACTAAGGTGGTACTATAACCCACAAATAAGAAAATAAATTAGACACAAAAAATGTTGTCAGTAAAGAATCTTAATACAGTATGACTACATATATAAGAGATTAAATATATGTGATTCTCTCAGTCTCTCAGGACTATAAAATATTCCACTTACATACAGTTTTATTTATATAGCTCTTTCAGAATAAACAGGCTAAATAAAACAAAGGAAATAATCTTCTAAATAAAACCACTGAAGGTGAAACTATTCCTTGATTCTGTAAAAGAATAACCTTCACGTTCTATATGATGGATAACTCCCTCTTCCAACTAAGGCCATATTTTTACTCCAGAGTTTCCTCATGGCATTTTTCATTTCTGCATTTCTCAGGGTGTAGATTAAAGGGTTCAACATGGGAGTTATGAATGTTAAAACAACCATCATGGATTTATCAATGGGAAAATTGACATTAGGCCTTGCATACAGGAAGATACAAGGAACAAAGAATAAAAGGACCACAGTTATATGAGATGCACAGGTGTAGAAGGCTTTGTGATTCCCTTCCAAACCATGAGTCTTCAGGGAGTGTAATATGACCCCATAGGACACTAAGAGGATGAAGAAGACAACAGTGCAGATTGCCCCTCCATTAGCTATCATAGAGAGTCCAATGAGGTGGGTATCAGTGCAAGCAAGTTTCAGTAAAGGGTACATGTCACACAGGAAGTTGTCAATGACATTGGGGCCACAGAAAGGGAGCTGATAAATAAAAAGAACTTGAACCAGTGAGTGCAGAAAGCCTCCAGTCCAGGCCACCAGCAGCATGAGGACACATACCCTCCGATTCATGATGATCAAATAATGAAGAGGCTTGCAGATGGCTACATATCGGTCATAGGCCATCACCACCAGAAGAATGACTTCAGCACCAGCAGTTAAATGATCTATGAAGACTTGAGTCATACAAGCCTGGAAGGAAATAGTCTTTTTCTCATGAAGCAAGTCAGTGATCATTTTGGGAGCAATGGCGGTTGAATAGACAGCATCTATAGATGATAAAGAAACCAGAAAAAAATACATAGGGGAACCGAGTGATCTGCTGGCTGTGATGGTCACCATGATAAGCAGATTACCCATTATTGTCACAATGTAGATGAGTAAGAATGGAACAATTAGAACCTTTTGCATCTCAGGGTTTTGTGTAAGCCCCAGAAGGACAAACTCAGTCACATTGTTCCTATTTCCCATGTGTCCTGAAGCTGTTGATCAGGTATCAGAGAATGCAAACCAAAGGGCCAGTAATGAATCTGAAATCACAAGTTTTGTGTCAAATATGTGATGCCTTACTGAACAGTTTTCTCCACAGTATCTCACACAGAGTAAGTCTTTAGAACATGACACTTTGTAATGTCCTTCCACAGTTCTCCATTCATTTTACCAAATTCCTTGCTTCAACTGCAGTGATGAAGCTTCAGTGTTCTAATCGAGGAGTATATATGACTGGGTAGATCTGTGAGTTTATATACCAAATGAGGAAAAAGATGCTTTCTCCAGAATATCTCCTATCAAAGACAAGATTTTTTTTTCATTTTACATATCATTTTTTTTCTAAGTGCATTTTCTTCTTCTGAAATCTATCATGAAAGCAATCTCATCTGTAATAACTTTCTTTACATACTTACATGAAGTAATACCTAGTCATGGAGCATACAATTATGTGCTAAGACACTCAAACATGTTCAACTCTTGTGACCCTATAGGAGCCTGCCAGGCTCCTCTGCCCATGGGATCCTCCAGGCAAGAATACTAGAGTGGATTGCCATTTCCTCCTCCAGGATAAAATTATAAGTTGAGCTTTTGATAAATACCTTTCTGAATATTATGATTTTCAAAAATTGAGACATAAATCAACCACAAGAGTGAGAGAAACAGGCACATTTTGAATGCTCTTTCAATGCTTATTCATGCTCATGGTTAATTACTCAGTTGTGTTTATCTCTCTTGGACCCCATGGACTGTAGCCCACCAGACTCCTCTGTCCATAGTTTTCTCCAGGCAAGAATATTGGAATGCGTAGTCAGTCCCTTCTCCAAGGGATCTTCCTGACGCAGGGTTTGGACCGGGGTCTCTTGAATTGCAGGTGGATTCTTTGCAGTAAAAGCCACCAGGAAAGCCCTCAATGCCTATTAAATTCTATTTAATTACACTGAATTTCAAAACTCATAAGAGAGAAACTGAACAGAGATAAAAGGTTTGAAATCTTACTATTCAAGAAAGTACAATAAGATCATCATTTTGCTTTAATATATACACACCGAAACACATACAAACACACAAACTAAGTAGAGATTTATTACAAGCTACTTGGAAGGAAAAAATGTACAATACATTTTGGAGGGAAAAATGGACAGTGAAATTTGTTATAAGCTATTGGAGGGAAAAAAATGGACAGTACAAAACTAAGGGATTGGGTACTATGTAAGCATTTTTCCTACTTTCCAAAATAGTTTAGAACTGATTATTGCTAGCCAAGCTCAAATAAGAATGATAAAATAAATATTTTAGGCTTAATCATTTTATAATGGGAAGAATTTACTACCAAACATCTAGAAATATCATTTGATTTTGCTTAGCTTGGGCTTCCCTGGCTGGGCTAGTGGTAAAGAATCTGCCTGAAAGTGTAGGAGGCTTAAGAGACATGGATTCCATCCCTTGATGGAGAAGACTCCCTGGAGGAGAAAGTGTCAACCCACTCCAATATTCTTACCTGGAGGATCCCATGGACAGAGGAGCCTGGTGGACTATCATTTATAGGGTGGCAATGAGCCGGACATGACTGAGTGTCTGAGAGTAAGCTGGAGGCACGTTTGGAAAATCACATCCCAACTCTGATTCCTATTGAAAAGGTAGCATTATTTCTAGACATGTGAGTTTCCAAATTCTTGTCATTGAAGCCTTTATTCTAAATGGCATGCTAACATTTTTGCTGGTTCATTCTCTTTATATTAATGAGGATGAATTAATATATGTTAGAAGTTATTTGTTTATTAAAGTAGCCAATAGTTTAGTTATTTTGTTCAAATGATGCATTCTTATTGTTGTGAGTCTACGTAAAATACAAAACATTCATTCTCACTTAAGTAAAATAAATTGTCTGTTGGGTCTTTCAGATATGATCGAGGACCAGTTTTTCATGTAATTGTTTTAAATGTGCTCCATTTCAGTATTTACTTTATAGACTGACATTTTTGAAGGACAGGAATTATCTTGTGCCTCTGACAAGACACTTTTTACTCAAACATTAGAGGTAAAATAAAAATATAAAGAAGAGAAAATAAGATTGAAAAAAAAGTACATAGAAAGTGGCAAAGACCATGAGCTGAAAATAATATGCTTTGAAATCAGAAAACTGCTGAGTTTGAAGTCACTGACTGAGTAGGGAATAGAGGAATTTCAGATTTCCTAACTGTCCATCTGGAGGTGGAATGAGCGGTAACTTCAGTATCAAGATTTATATTATACTTTCGGTCAAAGGAAAATGAGGAAATCAAATTCTGAACTTTAAGAGGCATGGATAGAAAACACCAGCTGCCTAAAGGAGCTCTGGCTTCAGAGTTTTGCCTTTTCGTTGTATGTTGTTGTAGCTGATTAGTTACCAAAATGTATCTGATTCTTTGCAACCCCATGGAGTATAGCCTGCCAGACTCCTCTGTCCATGGCATTTCCCAGAATGAATATATTGGAGTGAGTTGCCATTTCCTTCTCTAGGGAACCTTCCTAAACCAAGGATTGAATCTAAGCCTCCTGCTTGGCAGGCAGATTCTTTACCACTGTGACACTTGGGAAGACTTTCATGGTATAGATACATTATTAAATATCTCCACTCACAATGAGGAAGCTATGTAAGTGTTTGTAATAGAAAATAAATACTCACAGTTCATAGCAGTTGTCTGAGCACTAAGGAGATAACTTCCAGTAGGAGACCCTTTGAGCATTTACACTTGACATTTTGAGCACTTGCAACATGTATGTGTTTATAGCTGATTTTCTATTGTCATCTGTTGGGTTTGTTGGGTCAGTAAACATGCCTTACTAATAACTATTCCCAGAATCTCAGTGTGCCTTATCCATTTCAAGTGGGCAATGAATATTCAATTATTAAAATATTCTTATGAGCATTAGTATTCTATTGACTCAGAATGATGTAAAATTGTAGACTTTATCAATATTTTACTTTAGTAAAACTAAATATAACTGCTTCAAACATTTGTGAGATTTTTTAAATCTCTTAAATATAATCAATGAGAACATACATCTTTAAAGAATGCTCAAAAATGCACATTCATGATACCTCTTCCACAAGGATAAGTAAAATAAATTAAGTTGAGCTCCACTATGCTAAATTCAACAGCATGCTATGAAAAAACAAACTATTTATATGGTATGCAAGGCATAAAATTTTGGGAAGCACTTTCAATTAAAAGATCTTAGAAATTGCAAACCCTGAAAATTTGAGTTTCAGTCCAGACCCCTTTGCAACATATGATCACAATCTATACTTTAATATGTTTCTATTTAACTCTCTATATAGTAAAGCTTGTTTCCAATGCAAGTAAAAGTTTTAATTTAGTGATTGATCAGTGACCATAAAAATGATGCAGCAAAAAAATTGGAGGTCTTAATAAACATTTAACAAAATCATCAGATTTTATTTTACAAGATAAATTTTAAAGCAACATCAAATTTTCCAAATCAGTTTCTTTATAATAAAAAAGTATTATAATAATAATACTGCCTGTAAACCCTAAGTATGGTTGAGCATGCTTTGAAGACAAACACAGAAAAGCAATGACCAGGTATCATACATTTCCTACCTCATAGTCTTGTTAAGTTTTACTTGCTTTTATGTTTTATAATTTTGCAGGTGCAGCTCTGGATGGCAGTATTGTGCTTTATGGCAACTTGGGATTAAAATTATGGTTTGGAATCCTAACCCTGCAATCCATACCTACTAACTGTGTGACCTAGATCAAGTGCTCAATACCATCTGTGAAATGAGACATAATATCACTTATCACATAGCATGGTTTTAGGGATTCAACAGAATAATACAAATAATCTCTATGAAAATGGTCTGACTGGTAATCACTAAATAAAATTAAAAATATGATTTACTATTATTTGTCTCCCTCCCCATGTAACTTTAACACCATGACTGTACAGTTAGTTTTACTTCAGTTTCCCCACAAACCCAACCTTTTGTCTAATTATCCAAAAAATCATTCCTTTTGGATAGGTAGATCGAATGGGTCATTACCTTTTGTAATTCTGGAAGCTGCCCTATTTTCACTACTCAGATGACGTTGTGGACATTCCCTTGTCTGTCTTTTCCCATGTCTCATTTTATTCTTTGAAATATATCATTAAAATTAAATTTAGTCTGAGGAATCTTCTTTCCATAATTAAGAGGACAACTGAGTGCATAAAGTGATATGTTCTATTGCAGTCATATTAAATTTAAGATTCTAAAAATGAGAAATATTCATGAAATTAATGCACAGAAAGGTATAGATATTGACATTTTATTAAAATTATGTAAATTGTGTGTATAGAAATATACATAAATTATATTTCCCCAGATAGTAAAATGACTAACATGTTATAAGTACAGATAAGTGAATCTAGCAAATAACTCAGTGTCTCTGAGCTCAAGCTTTCACATTGTAAGTTTGTTTGCCTCTGTAAGAAGAGGTCATTAGTTAAATCTAAAAATGTTAATGTGGGTTTCTACAAAAAATGAATAGGAAGCAAATATTGTAGTACATGTTAGCACAAGACATTCATAGGAACATTATTCATAATTGCCCCTAGGTGGAAACGACCCAAATTCCCAACAACTAATGAATGACTTCCCTGGTGGTTCAGCAATAAAGAATTCACCTGCCAATGCTGGAAATGGGAGTTTGATCCCTGGGTTGGGAAGATCCCCTAAAAAAGGAAATGGCAACACACTCCAGTATTCTTGCCTGGGAAATTCCACGGACAGAAGAGCTTGGTGGGCTACAGTCCATGGGGTTACAAAAGATTTGGACATGACTTAGTGACTAGGCAGCAACAATGAATGAATAGACAAATTGTGCTATTTATAGAAAATGGGATATTAGTCAGCCTCCACAAAGAAGGACATTCTAATGCATGCTATAACAGGGATGAATCTTGAAAACATATACTTAGTGCAATAAGCCAGA